TTATATTTTAATGTTATATTTTATATATAATTTGAATATTGTATTTTTTTTATTATTTAGTATATTTTGTATAATATTATAATTATTATTTTTGTTTTTGATAATTTCTTTATATTCTTCTTTATATTATATTATATTATAATTTTTAATGCACGAGATAATTCAAGTGGATTTTAAAAGTAGTATATCTTATATAAGGCAGCTCTAACTCACCCACTCTTCACAAACCAGTGTTTCCTCCATCATCCCACAGAGACAAGATCTACAGAGTGAGATATCAGGAAACACATGCTCACGGTTAAACCCAATCATGTAGGAGAGCCCTCGTGGGAAAGCCTGCACTGTCAAACCAAAATCAAGTTCAAGAAGGCTTTTATTAACGTTTTTTTTCCTTCTCCTACTTCTTGAAGGAGAGCTGATATTTTGTTTTTTGATCACGAATCTTTAACCAAAAGAAGCCAAGCTCTGCATAAGTGCATCTAACTCTATCCCACTTCCATCAAGCCTGTGCTGTAAGTGTTGGCTGTGAGCCGCAGTGCTGTTCGCAATGTTTCCGCCCACATTCAGGCACCGCCCACACATCTGGGTCACACAGTGATCTCTCCGCTCACACACACACGCACACACGGGGCTTCTGTAGGTGCTAGTGACGTTTCTCTTGAGGAACACCCGTGTAGGGCTTCTGTAGATCTAAGAGACTGATGAGCGCGCAAAACACGTTTGTGTGTGTGTATGGAGCGTGGGCGCATTTTTTAGCATTAACGTATGAGTGTGACATTAACAGAACAGGAAACTGCTTGGATCAGCTCGATTTTGTGAGCTGCTTCCAGATTAAGAACCGTGTTTTTCAGGCCGCCTCTATAAATGAACAGTTTTAAGTTGTTAGCTTATTATTTCATTATTATTAGTTTGTTAGCTTATTATCTTTATATATATATATATAGCCTACACACACAAACATGAAATATATAGGCTTAATGGAATTATCATTATTATTATTAATATATTTTTATGTATTTATATTTTTATTAGATAAAATATATATTTGCAGTAAAATATGTAAATATTGTAAATGCTGTAAAATATTAGATATTGAATCATTAGTAATACAATATTGTTTAAGATTTTATTTATTGTAAATATATTACAATTATTTGCTGCTTTTGTTTATTGCTGTATTGTATGTGAAATATTAAATACAGAATTATAATTGATAATAAAGTATATAGTTTATATTTTATATAGCATTTAAATATTTTATCATTTTATTATTTATTGGATTATATTATAATTATTATTTGCTGTTTTTGTTTACTTTTGCAAAACAACTGCATCTGACTTTGCTTTGCTCTAAAAAACACTGAAATATAGCTTCCTCACATCATTAAAGTAGTGTGAACGAATGCAAAGTTTCTCAGGGAAACACACAAGTTTTGTGAGAGAACACTAAAGCATTGAAATATAATTTTTCCTCTCATGTCATGTTTTTTTTTTCCATGATCATGTTTCTTTAGAAAACATTTCAGGCTTTAAATTTAAATGTCCATATTTTTAGAAACCTTTTCTAAAACTGACAATAACTAACAAAACAAACATGTAATGAACAAAAAAGTTTGCAAACTTTTTTTCTGAAAAATCACAGAGAAAATCCGTGAACTGTTTTTTCCAGTTTGGTTTTATTTGTAGAACAATTTCACAAAGACTAGATAAAGAATGAAACACAACAAATGTGCACAGAAAAGACCAGAATGCCAGATTAGCACAGCTAACTAACAAAACGCCCACGTGTCATCTGAAAAATCACAGTCACAATGTAACAGTTAACGCTTAACGACAGCGAGATACACTATCGTACGCCGAGAATAAGGCTAGAGTTGCTGGTAACAAATACACAAACTTTTCTTCCTAATACTAACATCTAAACTGACGCGATCGCAAAAACACGCAAAGCTAATTTTACATATTCAGTATTCTTTTACGTTAAGTTCATCCTCAACGACAAACCGATACGAACAGATGAATGTCATCATTTAACCTTATCAACTAATCTGAGGACTACACAACCGTTTTCTACGAAACTCCAGTGTTTCCGTTGAATAACGAATAGCTTAAATAAAAGTAGTTACGAATAAGACATGCAATCAAATAAACACACACAGATTATGTACAAAAAAAATGCACAAATACACTCTTAGACAATTTCTCTGTGTACACCGACTGCAAGACATTCATGTTTTTTGCTCTAAAATTAGAAATAAAAATAATTCTTAAGAATTAAAAATCTAAATAAATGGATCTCTAGACATTTACAGTTCTTAAGGCCACACAGTTTCAGTACTAAATCCACTGAGCAAACAAAACGCAGGTTTCACTTTGAGGCTCAAGATGTTATCTGGAGTCCTCTGGTTCTGATTTGATGGTCTTCTTTTCCAGAAGCCTGGGCTCCTTCTGAGACCCATTTTCTGAAATGCAAATGTAAAAGTGTAAAATTCAATTTAAAATATATTGGTTAGCTTGCATGCATACCTAAAATGGCAATAAAGAAATTGAACCAAGATTCAAGATACATGTTTGATCATGTGGCACCTTTTCAAATTTTTCTTCAAACTTGAGTTATAAAATGAGGCAATAAGCAAATCAAGCAAAAGTACAACAAATATTTAGCACCCTCAGGCCATCCAAGATGTAGATGAGCTTTTTTTTGCTCATCGGAGCAGATTTGGAGAAATTTAGCATTACATCACTTGCTCACCAATGGATCCTCTGCAATGAATGGGTGCCGTCAGAATGAGAATCCAAACAGCTGATCAAAACATCATAATAATCCACAAGTAATCCACGCCACTCCAGTCCATCAGTTAATGTCTGGTGAAGCGAAAAGCTGCATGTTCGTAAGAAACTAATCCATCATTAAGGCGTTTTAACTTAAAACCGTCACTTGTGGCCAAAATACAACTCCATAATCCATAATAAGTGAAAAAGTCCATCCCCTGTTGTCCTCTCACATCAAAATCCCTGACATGTTTGTTTAGAGCTGTTTTTTTACTGTTTTCGTTTGTAAACGAACTTGATCTGTGCATATTTCTCTCCTGATTCAGAAAAATGACTTTTTCACTGGATAAAACAATATTATTGGATCGAGGAACTGTATGTTTAGCCGGTTTGGAGTTAAAAAACGTCTTGATGGGTTTCTTTCTTACAAACATGCAGCTTTTCACTTCACAAGACATTAACTGATGGAATGGAGTGGTGTGGATTATTGTGCTGTTTTTATCAGCTGTTTGGACTCTCATTCTGACGGCACCCATTCACTGCAGAGGATCCATTGGTGAGCAAGTGATGCAATGCTGAATTTCTCCAAATCTGTTCTGATGAAGAAACACATCTTGGATGGCCTGAGGGGTGATAAAATATTCAGCAAATTTTCATTTTTGGGTGAACTATTCCTTTAAATTTTATGTGCACAGAGTAAAAAAAAACAACAACAAAAAAAAAAAACATAATGGAGCATGTTTTACAAGTAAATACTTTTCTTTCTACTTCAAAATGTCATGTTTAATTCAGTGTGTTACTTGCCATTTCTTTGTAATTATTTGTGATATTTACTAGCAATTTTTGAATAATAATCATTTCAACAGCACTTTTTTCAGTGTTTCTGGTGCATTGTGTGGTTTTAAAAACTATTTAACAAGAGTAAAAGTGCAATCAATTATCATATCAATTCTCATATCATAACAGTTTCAGTATGCTGGAATTTTCAACACATTTCAGCCATTGCCAGTAAACAAACACATAGCGTAAGAGCTTATGCCAAAATAAAGTATGGTACTTTTTAGTGTTTCAAATCTATGTCACCAAATTGACAGGGGAGGGTATTATTCAGATATTCAAATCAGTTCAAAAGACCAGTGTGATCAGTAAATGACACTGATTGACATCAGGCTCTGCCCACATTGGGGCGGAAGAAAAACCCAAAACGTCAAAAAGACGAGTAAATCCACACCCCCTTCCTCACCTACTCGCAGTGTACTAACGCAGCTTGCACAGGGCAGGTAGGAGTTTCAGAGAGAAAGTGCTACCTTCATCGAGGACATTTGCATGCAAGAGATTGCATAAATCACAAAAAGTTCTCTGAAGCCCTGCTGATACGCGCGTTACGTTGACACATCAGAGTTTAATGGAGCGGTGTAGGTGTCAATGTGCCAGGATGATACTGAGATAAACCTGTGCCAATCCAGGCTACAACATGCATGCAAAAACAGCGTCCAACAAGAGCCATTTTAATCTGTACAGCGTTTCTCCGCTGGTTCTTTAAAGATTAACGCTCTACCTAGACAGCATTTGAAGGCTGTTCCAAAAGGTAGGCGGCAACATTACGCTGCCTTCAGAGATACCACGTTTTGGCCAAATTTGAAGGCAGAACCACATGGCTCCTTTGTGGATAGTGTGGTAATCCCAGAATGCATTTTGACTAGAGTAAAACTAGACTAAAGTAGAATATGAGCTTTATCCTTATATATTTAGATGACTTGTGATGTGCCAAATGACATATGAATGCATAAATAATCGAATAATAAAAAGTATTTATCTTATACAAGCATCTAAAGTAGTGATGCAATATTGCGAGGAAAATAGTATCACAATATATTTATTAATGATTGCATCTTCATATCCATATAATGTTTCGAAAGTAGTCACTTAGGGGGTTATACAGTATACACTAATATTCACAGGTTTGGGGTTGGTAAGATTTTTTAAAATGTTTTTGAAAAAGTCTCTTCTGCTCACTAAAGCTGCATTTATTTGATCAAACATGCAGTAAAAAAAATTTAATTTTTAAAAAAATATTATTACAATTTAAAATAATGGTTTTCTATTTTAATATATTGTACAACATAATTTATTCTTGTGATGCAAAGCCAAATTATTCAGCATTATTCCTCCAGTCTTCAGAGTCACATGGTCCTTCAGAAATCATTCTAATATGCTGATTTTTTTAAAGAAACATTTCATACGATTATTAATCGAGCAGTTGTGCTGCTTAATATTTTTGTGGAAACCACAATACATTTTTTAAAATTCCCTGATGAATAGAAAGTTTAAAAGAACAACATTTATTTGAAACAGAAATCTTTGGACACAATGAAAGTGAAAGTGACAAAAAGTGAAAGTGACGTGACATGTGGCCAAGTATGGTGACCCATACTAGGAATTAGTGCTCTGCATTTATCCCATCCTAAGTGCACACACACAGCAGTGAATACACACACACCGTGAACACACACCCGGAGCAGTGGGCAGCCATTTATGCTGCGGCGCCCGGGGAGCAGTTGGGGGTTCGGTGCCTTGCTCAAGGGCACCTCAGTCGTGGTATTGAAGGTGGGAGAGAGCGCTGTACATTCACTCCCCCCACCTACAATCCCTGCCAGTACGAGACTCGAACCCGCAACCTTTGGGTTACGAGTCCGACTCTCTAACCATTAGCCCAGTGTAAAAATCTTTACTGTCAATTTTGATCAACTGAATCTTTGATAAATAAAAGTAAAAAAAATGTCAAACTAGGTTTCAGAACGAAACTTAAAGTTCTTGATGTTACATTAAAGGTTATTCGCATTTTAGGTTCTTCGAAGAACCTGTAAATAGAATGTTTTCTGAAGAACTAGAGAATTAAATGTTCTTTGAGAATCTTCAAAAGGTTCTCCTATGACATCAGACAGAAGAACACGTTTTAGATTGTTTATTTTTTCAAAGTGTGCACTTAAATTTATTTGCATTAATTATGTGGCATTTTCGTTTTATAGCTTCATTTAAGAGTGTTCGCCAACTCAAAGTTGTGAAGTGTCTTTTACAGTCTGGTTGTGAGAACTAACCTATGGCCGCTGTCATTCTATCTTCAAAGGTTTGTTGATTATGATGTCGTTCCTCTGCGTTCTGTTTGTGATGTCGTTTGAGCTCATTGGCTAATTGCCTGCCCAGCGGCACATCGGTCAGATGCAAGTTTAGGGGTCTCTCGCCTGTATTTAAGGATAGAAAGTTGCGTAAACTCAACTACTGATATGAACAATTCCAACAAATGCCAAGTAGCGGTAAGCAACAAAGAAGAGGAGAAATGTACCAGAGAGATGTGAGAGGCCGCTGTTGCAGTGTTGAGCAGTGGGAGCGAGGTATTTCAGTGCCGCAGTTGGAATCCGCCAGTCCAACGATTTCAGTCTCTCTTGGACAGCAGCATCACGCAAGAGCTCCACCTGTTTGGCCAACAAAGAGTCCAGCTGTACCTGAATGTGGAAAAAAATGTTCACAAAAAGTTTTCAAACAACTTAGAAACAGACGTTCAAACTAACAATTCAAACAAATCTATATTCAAAAGAATGGTTCAAACAAAGTTCAAATAACTTTGAAAGTAACTTTAAAACTAAAACATTGTTTCCAAACATGTTGTTCACGCAACTTTAAAAATACATTTTAAATATTGTTTAAAAAATTCAATTCAAACAAGTTTGAAAGAAACTTTAAAAGCTCTTTCAAACTAAGTTCAAACTAAATTCTGATGAAAAAAGCTTTTTTAAACAACATTAAAACGAAGTTCAAATAATTTTGAAAGTAACTTTCAAACAAAACTTAAAACATTAAAATCACAGTCTAAGCAACTTTGAAACAAAAATTTAAACAAACATTGTTTAAAAAATAAAGTTTAAACAAGTTTGAAATAAACTTTCAAAGTTCTTTGAAACAAGATTTAAACAAAATTATTTTGGAAAAAAAAACATTTTCAAACATCCTTAAAACAAAGTTCAAATAACTTTGAAACCAATTTTCAAACAAGTTTGAAACCAACTTTCAAACGAAACTTGAAATTCGAACAGACATTGTTTCCAAAAATAGTTTAAGCAACTTTGAAACAAACATTTTAAACAAACATTGTTTAAAGAGCATTAAATGTAGTTCAAATGAATTAGAAATAGTTTCAAAGTAATTTGAAATAGTTTCAAAGTAATTTGAAACTACATATGAAATTCTTAAAAAAAAAAAAAAAAACATTTTCAAATGTTAAAACAGTTCAAAGAAAAAACGTTTTGAAACTAACTTTCAAACAAGTTTGAAACGTTCAAACAAAACTTAAAGGGGTCATATGATGCGATTTCAAGTTTTCCTTTCTCTTTGGAGTGTTACAAGCTGTTCGTGAATAGATAAGATCCCTGAAGTTGCAAAGACTAAAGTCTCAAACCCAAAGAGATATTCTTTATCAAAGTTAAGACTCTGCCACACCCCCCTAAAACGGATCGTTCTAACACGACCCCACATATCTAGGTCACTATGTGGGAATATTTCCATAATGCTGCCCAAATGTGCACACAAAGGAAGAAGGCGTGGTTTCGGTAACCACAGTTATTGTTGAAGCAGCCATGTCAGGGAGACGCTGTGTGTTTCTAGGCGAAAGCAAAAGCACTTTATTTGGCCTTCCGAATAAGTAGATGCATTTAGGAATCTTTAAGATCACTTACAACAGAACAACAATGCATTTTATGGACGACCGTTTCATAGGAGAGGAGGTAATTCTGACTTTGCTATGACAATCTCGCGCTTCTGAATCAGCTACTGTTTTGTT